AATTAATAATAATTTTTTTGTATAATAGTGTTAATATAATTAAATAATTATTTACTTAAAATATTTTCATACTTTTTTATTGTTTCAAATGTTTTCTAACTATTTTTTATTTATTTATTTTTGTTTGTAGATTAATATTCAAATATATATACAGTAGATATTAGTTATATAACTAATTAATTTGTTGTTTAAATAAAAATACGATTCAAATACTCAGTAATTCAATACAACAACAAAAAATCAAAAGTATAATTAATTTTTAATTTATAATAAATACTTAATTAATATTTATATTAAATGTTTTTTTTGAATAAATTATAATTTTTGTTTGTTTCTATAAATAATAGAAAATAATATAAGTTTAGTTTATTTATTTTTAAAAAAATAAATAAATTATAGGAATTATTTTTTATGGGGAACTTTCCATGTCTTCAATAACAACAAAAAAAAAAGGAAATTTCTTTATCTTTTATTTTTTTTAACTAAACTTTACACTACTCTCTAATGTCTAGTTTAGTAATAAATAATACGATACTTAACTTTAATAGAGAGAGAGAGAGAGAGAGAGAGAGAGAGAGAGAGAGAGAGAGAGAGAGAGAGAGAGAGAGAGAGAGAGAGAGAGAGAGAGAGAGAGAGAGAGTGTTTAATGGGGTATAAACAACAACAACATTCAACTTAAACATATATATATAACTAAATATAATATATATATATATATACATATATATATATATAAMTATWKAYATATATAYTGTATATATAACACTTCAATAAAATTGATTTATATGGCATTTACTTATATGATTAGTAAAATATGATATATATATATATATATATATATATATATATATATATATGAGTGGGTGAGTSTGTRTGTGTGTAAGTGTTTACTGCATTTGTCATAGATCTCAATATTATATATTATATAAGTATCTGATATAATAATAAGTAAAATCTAATACTAATTAAATTTAATTTAATATAACTTTATATACAGTATATATATATATATATATATATATAGTTATGAATAGTATGTTATAATATAGCTATTGGGCCAATAAATACTTGTATTTTTTGAATTATTATTATTTTTAAACATAACTATTTTATTATTAATAAAAAAAATACCTATAAAATTACTAATTAATTAACTATCAAAAAAATTTACCTATTTTTAGTATTTATTAATTAATTATTTATTTTTAGATTGAGAAATTATTTGATATATATAAAAATAGACAATATATATATATTAATATATAGATATTATAAATATCATCCAGGATATCTTATATTTTATAAGTATATATATATATCCTATGGCGATAAATTTTCTAGTATATATATATATATATATAATTATGATATTAAATTTATGTTATTATTATTATTACATATTAATAAAAATTATGATATCATATTTGATATTATTATTGTTTGCTTATTATATATATATATATTATTAGTACTATTGATAATAATATCAGGTATAATATAATTTATAATATAATAAATAATAAAACAAAATAAAAACACAAAAAAAAATAAAAACAGTTATTTGATATAACAGTATATTATTATAAATGCTATTATATTTTATATTATTTTTATGATAAAAAAAACTTAAACTATAGAAAAAATTGTTTTATAATATCCATAGTTATCCCTTAATATTATAGCATTAATCAATAATAATATATTTTTTTTGGTGACAAAACGTGATTTTTATTTTTTAAAAAAATTTTTTAGTTGTTTTATTTTATTAAATAGTTTATAGTGTAAACATTAAAAAAAATAAAATCTAGTTTTATCTAAAATCAAACAATAAGATTAATAATAGAGTAAAATAAAAATCTAGTTTTTTATATAAAAATTATTATTATTTTTTAAATAAAATTTTTATGACATTATTTTATATAATCAGATATCGGTTTACATCATTAAAAAAACAATAATGATTTGATTTTATTATTTAAATTTATTACTAAAAAAAAACATATATTATATTATAAAATAATTAAATAAATAATTTATTTATATATMTATATTTTATTTTTGTAAAATTATAATAAAATATCTATTAAACAAWTATTGAAWWWTTTTTATATTTTTTGTGTATAAATATATATATATATATATATATAATTATTAATATCTTATTTTATTATTATCAGATAATAAAATTGAAATGTTTATGATTATAGTTATTGTAAATATTTTATTCACTAAAAAATAATAATTATAATAAATCAAAATTTATTTTTAATAATAACTTTTATTATTATTATTATTAAACTATTCAATAAAATTATTATCCATACAGAAAAAAATAATACATTTATTAAATGTTATTTTGTTTTATTTTTATTTATTTTTTTTGTTGATATATATATCTAAATATATTGTAYTTTATTATAAATTACAGTAAAATTATAACATATAGTTGTAAATTATATTTTTATATACAGTATATATATATATATATTGTGTTAAATAAGTTTTATGTAAATCAACCTTATTGATTATTTAAATAATTTATCAAATAATTTTTTTTGTGTCCACATTAATAACTGTTTTATATATATATATATATTAAATTTGATTAATGAAAGTTATATATTTATACATTAACTATATATATATATATATAATWTATATAAGAAAAACAATATTAATAAAAATAAAAATTTAGTATTAAATMRAAATTTTATATATTTAKTTATTTTTWAAAAATTATTTGATTTAGTTTATGTAATTAAAAAAAAATTTTAAGTTTACTATTATTATTATTATTATTACAATAGTATTTAAAATTTCAATTTTCAAGTSTAAATTGAAATTTTTATTTTGTAATATTATTATTATTATTAACTAGTATTTTTTTGACTTAAATTTAAATATTTTYAATAAAATTTGCATATATTTTTTTATTTATGTAAATTTAACAATTGAATTTTTTTTTCAACAAAAAAAAACAAATTCAATAAGMAAGTAAAAATTGTGATTTTAAAAATTAAGTAAAATAATTGTTTAGAAAAAAATCACAAATTATAAAAGTGTAAAAAAATAAATTTTAAATAATTRCTATAAATAATAATATAACTATAAATATATTAAATTATTATATATTTTCCAATTTTTATTGTTTTATTATAATACTTAAGTATTTAACACTTTTAGYATAACTTTTWATTTAAATAAAAAAATATTTAATATAATAAATATTTTCTAATATTAGATTATAAAAAATATTATATAATATATATATATATATATTAAGTAATATATAAAATACATTTTGTATAACAAATCAAAAACAAAAATTAAATTAAATAAACTTTTATTATTATAAATTTATAACACTGTAAAAGTAATTATTATTATTATTATTAGCCATTAATTATAAATTGAACAGTTATAAAGTATATATATATATATATATATATATAAAGTTACATTAATTAACCAGCTAGAAAAAAATTTACTAAAATAATTAATTTAATTTTTATTAGACAATAACAACAATAATAGTTGATGTAATTAATTTTATTTATAATAATAAATTATATATTAAATCAGATACTATACAATAATAATAATAACAACAATAATAATAAATAACAATAATAATTAATTAATGTAACTTAATAAACTTTGTTATTCAAAAATATATATATATATATATATAACATTAATAACAAACAAATAATAAACAATAAAAATATATATATATATTACACAATTAATTAATTATATATAYATATATATATATAACAATAATAAATTGTTTTACAATAAATGAAACAAAACAAAAATATATTTCAAATAGTAATATAATATATATATATATATATATTATACAAAATATATGTTATATTAGTACACTATGTAATAAATTATAWATAATAAAAAAATACAAACAACAAAAAATAATAATATTATGGCACTATTGAAACACATACACATAATAATAATAATAATAATAATAATAATACTATAAATCCTAACAATATATGTGAGCCCCAGACATATACTGTCCCTATTATTATAGATATATATATATATATATATATATATATATATATACATTGTATTTGTAATTTATATACTATATATAAATTTATTTGGAGAAAATATTTGTATATAATATATATATATGATATGATACCAGTATTTAGTTTTTATTTTGTTGTTGTATATACAGTATATATATTGAATATATATATATATATATATATRTTATATAAAATCTAACGGTTCCACACAATTAGCTCCTATACTGTATGTCTCATATTGTATACAACTATATATAAATTTATATATATACAGTATTATATATAATAAAAGATTGTAATATTTATTTATTATATTATATAATTTATATATATATATAAACTTTATAATACATGTAGTGATGTTTGTATACAATTTTTGTTTGTATTGTGATTTTATAATAACTATTATACAATATATATATATATATTTATATATAATATATATGTTTGTGTAATATTTTTACATTTTTTTGTTTGTTTTATTTAATTATTATTGTTGTTTTTTTAGGCACCTTAACAAAGTTATTGTTGATTTTTTAATGATAAAAAATTATTCAATTTATTTTTTTTGTTCATCTATTTTTTGGTATTAATTGATAAAAATTTATATTAAACACTGTATATATATATATATATAYACTAAATATATATATATATAAATATTAAATATAATAAAAATTTTTTCATTTTATTAAATATTATTAATTAATTAACATATAAAATGATTATTAATTTTTTTGAGTTTTTATTAAACAGTATTATTATTATTATTAAAAATTATATTTTATTTTAATAAAACTAATTATCTATTATTAAACTTAAATATACTGTATATATATATATATATATAAGGATATACTCATTATATAGATAATAAATAATTAAATTTATTGGTATTATTAATGAAACGGTAGGCAATGGGGGGAGTCGGGGGGGGAGGGGCTATACTGATGATATCGTACAGTGAGTTGTTGGCGATCCCAGGGTTGTCGTAATGGTAGCCGTAGTAGTAGTAGTAGTAGTCGTAGTATCGATATGTTGTCTATTACGGCGGTGTTGTTGTCCATCGTTGCCGCCGATATCGTCCAGAGTGGCGGCGGCGGCGGCGGCGCCGCCCAAACAATTGGACACTAATAGGCTATCAGCGGCGGTGGCGGCGCCGGCACTGGTAGGTAGACCTACTAAAGCCCGTGCATTGGTGTTGTTGATGTTGTTGGCGATGGCGTTGGCTTTGGTAGTCATTATTGTTGTTGTTGTTGTTGTTATGTAAGGCTTGCCTCCCGGTGCTTGCGTACGACACCTGACCAGTGATTTGAGAAATTTTTTCGACCCCTTCCTAAACGATTCGTTTAGCCAACAATAGATGAATGGACTATCAGATTGAATATATGTATTGTTGAGGTAGTGGTGGGGGTGTGGGTGGGCAGGTAGTGCAAAGGGGTGCACACAAAAAAAATATATATTTAAAAATTATTATTAGTTTTTTTGTTGAAAAAAAATTTGTTTAGTTTTAGTTGAAAATATGTTTTATATATTTTATTCTAATATAAATATTTATATATATATATTTAAAATTATTATTAGATTTTTTTTTTAAAAATTTTATAGTTTTAATTGAAGATATGTTTTATATTTTTTTCTAATAAATATATATATTTAAAATTATTTTATTAGATTTTTTTGTTGAAAAAATGTTTAGTTTTAGTTGAAAATATGTTTTTTTTAATTTTTTTCTAATAAAAATTTTTATATATGTATATAAAGTTTAAAAAAAAATTATTAATTACTTGTAGCATACTGATGACATGGCAAACCAATGTACCTAGTTGATTTTTGATTTTTTTTTAAATTTTTTAATTAAATTAAAAATGTTGTCCAATCATGTAGTGATGCAAAAACAATATATATAAGTAAACAAACAAAAATTTTTAATAATAATTACATATATTTAACGTTTGAAAAAAAATAATATATTATTGTTATGAGTGTTATTAACAAAAACAAAATAAATTTTTAATTTATTTTATTTTATAATAATAATAATAATAATACTAAAAACGTAAAAATAATTTTTACAACAAATTTTTAAATAACTTACGACAAGAAATACAGTAAAATTGTGTTTAATTAGTTTAAAGTCGACGAGCAAATGGTAGACATTAATGGGAAGCCTATTGGGATAGATATATATATATATAAGTTTAATATAAGTATATATAATGTATATATATATATATATATATATGCGAGTGAATGAATTAAATATATGAATTTATATATATATATATATATATATGTATAGTAAGACAGCAAAGTTAGAAATAAATAAATAAATAGAGAGAGAGAGAGAGAGAGAGAGAGAGAGAGAGAGAGAGAGAAAGAGAGAGAGAGAGAGAGAGAGAGAGAGAGAGAAGAGAGAGAGAGAGAGAGAGAGAGAGAGAGAGAGAGAGAGAGAGAGAGAGAGATAGAGAGAGATGTCATATTTAATTAAGTGTCGTCCCAATAATTAAGTGACAGTTTAATATTATATAAGTATATAAAGTATATATATATATATATATATATAGTATAGAGAGAGAGAGAGAGATAAAGAGAGAGTATTATAATATAGTAAATGTCTATTTAGTTAGTATTTTATTAGACAATAGTGTTTCAAATTGTAATGTCATATACTGTATGTATATATACTATATATATATAAGGTAATCACAACAATAGCTGTCATGGTTTTAATGAATTTTCAAAGTTAATTTTCTTAAAAACTAAAGACAATTAAATACTAAAATTTTCTCCATCATCTTCAATAATTATTACGCAATGTATATAGAAATTATTATTTTTATTTTTAAAGTATTTCTTAACTTATTTAGCAAAAAAAGAAATTAAGTCATTTTTGACATAACCTTAAATTATTTATTTTAAATAAACTAGACATTTTTTTATAATTAAAATTAAAGGATATTTTGCTAGTATATTAACAGGGTTATATAGTGAATAAACAATAATTTTTTATCCCAACTCTTTCAACTATTTTTTTAATCATTTAGTAACACATTTTAAAATAATATTGTGATAAAAGATTATTTGAGTTATTTTTTATTAAAACATCACTAAATTTTATCAAATCATTTATAGATTTATGCATTAAATGTTAATTTATATAATAATTATTAAACTGATAAATATTTTTAATTTTTTAATAACTTATTTTATAAATATTGCAATTTACTAAAATTTGATGATTAATTGCCAAAATTTTATAATTATAATTAACTTAGATATTTTATTTTTTATTAATCATATTTAGAGACTCATAGAATTATATTTTATACAAAAAATCTATTTTATCTTATATAAGTTATAAATAAAATTTAAAAAAATTCATTTTATTCAGCTTATAACAAAAAGTTATTATTTAATTTATAAGTATTTTTTACTAATT